CCAGGCTCCGAGTCGGCGGATTCGCCACACCCAACATGAAACTAATCGGGCTACCTTTGATTAAAGGTGCTTGACTAATCTCTTGACAATTTTATAGACGTATCATTTGCCACAGTTGCCTATGCAAATTTGTGTTTTTCATGGTTCGTAATAATTTTTGTTTTTTTTTGTTTGAATACAAAAGCATTCTCCTACTTTCTGCCCCCTCTTTCCGAAGTTTTACGATCTTTAATACAGCGTTTGCTCAGTTTCACACACATCCACATACACACACACACACACAGAGGCAAACACGCACACACAAGCGCACATGAGTTACGCAGGCTGAAACACGTCTACTCTCTCTCCGTGTGTGTGTGTGTGTGCATAGGTTCTCATCTCGAATATCCTGATGCCACGTAAGAACATGCCGTCAATCATCATACGCAAATACACAAATGCATACTTGTATATGCAAGATATTCTTGTCTTCTGAGAAGACTTCTGCATCAGTGTGTGTGTGTACGTCTGACTCTAGTTGACTTTGCGCAGTCATTACGAGAGCTTTACCATAAACCACCTAAACTATGGTGCACTATCATCGAGAGAGACAGAGACAATCGGGAAGAAAGGGAAAAGGCAGGTGAATAATACTCTATTTGGTGGCAGACAAGTGACGCAATGATGTTGGCATTAGAAGAAGAAGAAGAGGTCAGTGCAGGGCCCACCATACCTCCTAAGGCTTTCATGTGTACTTAGCCTGTACACATTCATGTGTATCCAACCTGTTCATGCACTAGTACACTTGTGCCTCTGTTCAGTTGTGTTTCTTTCTCACATCACACGCGCAAATGCCAGTGTCCCTTTAACTACAACAATGTGCATACTTAAGAGAGCCGAGGCCAATATCGACAAACGGATGGGGTGGAGGGAGGCGAGAGGCATTGCACAAGAATCGCCTCTATCAAGTGACAGTAGAGAGGCGATCAGAGTGTACATTTATGGGAAGAGGTGATGACACACTGCACCTCATGGGTTGCAATTCGAAAATCAACGATTAAGGAGGCGATGAGTCATCGACAACCCACCTACCTTCAGATGTGATTCAGCAAGTGAAGTCCACGTTGGTGGATTCATATCTGCCTTTCTATCTTCAAGTGAGACACCTGCCTTTCAACCAGACCCCACCCTAGGTGAACAACTTTGCTTTATATGCACCAAAATGTAGCACTAGCGGGTCGTCCCTTCAAAATTGTCTAGTAGAAGAAGCACCCGCCTTTAAACTCAGTCAGTTATCAGAGTGGGTCGAGAGACAATATTCTCGTAACCAATTAATGAAGAGCGCTTAACAAAGACAGAATAACAAAATGACCTCCAAAAGCTTGGGAGCCAGACAGCAATGAATTGAATGCAATTACGAGAAACTCACACAAGTAGGCAAAAAGGAAATAGTGGGGAGGAGCCACTATCAATCATGCAGTCAATCGTAAATTGCGATATACTTTCATTTAAAGTCTAAATATCTGGGTCGACAAGTAAATTAATATGGTTTCCAATTAGCTCTTCCTTTCAGACAATGACTGGATTAGTCATTGAAAGAAGTGAAGTGCCTTGAGAGTTCCGAGTTGAGAGGTGACATCTGAATGATGCCTCCTTGTTTGAACAGAACGGCTGTCCAAATGACCGGTTATCAAAAGGTCGTAGCAATAGCCCAAAGCTCGTTACAACCGAATTGGAAACAAAGGGATGCGGACACATTAGTTGCCCATCAGTTCAGAACGGCAATACAAACCCGTCCATAAATATGCGATAAACTGATCAACAAAAACCCACAGTTGACTCGAGCGACTTCAAGACTACCACCTATTTGGTGGGTAAAGAATAACAAACAGCATTGGAGAAACAAACGATTTCGTCATTTGACGTCTTTTAGCCCTCAAAGTTGCAAAACAGTTGGCCTGAGCATCATTAAAAGCCAATCCAAGCAATTCGACCCCATTTCGAAATTCATAATGCGACCATTCTACCAAACAGGCAAAAAAATGGGAACAAAAGCGGAAGAAGAAACACATCTATAGTGCAAAGAGGCTTTTTTGTAGTCGATTGTAGCAACAAAATACCGATTATCAGCACAAAATGACTTAAAGAAAAGTAAGGCCAGAAGGTGTTTTGTGTTTGTGTTTGAGTGTTCGTGCGAGGAGAAAAGTTTCGGAAAAGGAATAAAGTAGGGAAGAGGAGGGACAAAGACGAAGGCAAGGAAGAGAGATGAGGAGGGTAATTAGGAAAAGGAACACAACCTAGAGTCTACACCTCACTTCCCCATTCTACTTTCCTTGCATCGTTTCATTATCTTCAGCATCTTTGTTACTGTGATATAAGGGATATTAAAAACACTCAAACAGTAAAAAAGGCGACCGAGAGGAAGGAGTAGGTGGACAAAGAGGAGGAGGAGGAGGAGGAGGAGGAGGAGGAGAAGTAGGGGCAGGGAAAGGGGAGGGAGGAAGAAAAGAGAAGCAAGTTCCTACCATCATTATCTTCAAAAAGAGATAGATTTTGTGCAAAGGAATGTGCAATAACGCCGGTTGCTTTAGAGATCCCGCTTACAATCCACAGACTGACAGTGTGATAAATTCAATCAAGCTGTTCCTGCTGTTGCTGCTGCTGGTCGTACTGGTGCCAAAGGAAGACAACTGGACGGTGTAGTTGAAAGCAATGCGGTGGTGGTGGGATTGAAGAGAGGTGGTAGAGGCGAGAGACACGAAACCGTTAGCACCGAAGCTGTTCTTTGCTCTTTCTAAAAAACCGCAAGAGAATGTCCATCCACTGTCGATCAGCTTGCCATCTCAGGCGCTGAGGCTAGAATAACAGGTGGATCGTGAACGACAGAAGCTGTTGCTGGAGCAGAATTGACTGCTGAAGGCGGCACGTACGCTTCTGAAGGAAGGGATGTGAGCATGGGTGGTGTTGCAACTAGTTGTGTCGGTGCTACTGACGGCAGTGGCAGTGGTGGTGGTGGCGGAGGCTGCGGAGCTAGCGAAAGTCGCGGATTCTTTGCTAGCGGTGCGCTTGCAGCAGCATAAGCGGCACTCCGACGACGATTCAGTGTGGACTGTCTGGAGTTGTTACCAGATGTGGTGATGGAAGTGGAAGAAGTGATTGTGGTGGAGGAGGAGGAAGCAGCGCCGGTAGCGGAGGAAGAACTTAGGTGTGATCGATCGGAGTTTGTTGCAATTGTGCCAGAGGGAAGAACGCGACCGAAACGACGCTCGTCTTTGCATTTCTGGGCCATCCGAGCTCGAACTGCTGCTGCTGATTTGTTGAATCGACGACGCATTTTGGCTGAAGAAGGAAGGATTGCAGATTGAGGATCGAAGTCAAATTCGATGAATCGACTGAAGTAGAGGCAACCCTTCTTACAAAAGTGGTTAACAGACAGACCCTCACTTTCATTGCTTACATCGCGTTTTCTTACCTGACGTTCGACTTTACACACACTTACAAATTTTCATGCCCACTTCGTGATAACTTCTGCCTTCGATCGAGCATTGCATAATAATTGGTAAGCTTTAAGAAAAGCAGGAGAAATGGTGGATCATCCATTTCCAGGACCCTGGGAACGAACGTGTTTGAAAGACGACCTTTGTTTAGTGCGCGCGGTTGAATTTATTCCACTGCCATTAAAGTGGAGGAAAAGTTATTACCTCTCGGATGACTCACTGATAACTGTAACAGATTAGATGATCTACAAGTTTGCTTGAGTTGGAAGAAAGCCCTTCCAACTCCCAGTGGCAGGGCGATTCCAGAAGGGAGATTCTACTTATTTCAGGCGGCTAAATCAACTCATTTAAGGCTTGAAGCAATTAATGAGTCCAAAGATTTTGCAAGTAGATTCGACTATTTTAATGATGATTAAGGTGATTGTAAGAGGAGTCCAGATCCATATGCTGCTCCGACGACCTCGTCACTCCTCAAATCAGCCTGAACAATAGCTTGATTACATAATAGATGTAAGACTGGAGAGGCTGACTTTCGACTGCAACCAGAGAATAGCAGCCAAAACAATATTCCAAGGGCGAAGTGTACGATGTAATGCTCCTATATGACGATCTGAGATGTGTGATTAGCCGGAATCGCAGTGATTTGTTACGAGGTGCTGCTGTCACTTTGACGAACGCTCAAAGATCGAGAAAATACGCCTTGTCTACGACCAATAGAATATTCTGCATTCATCCACCAATCAGACCGCGATATGCCATTATCACGTCCCAAACGTCACACATTTTTGACGTTTGAAATAAGGTAAGAGGGTTGGAGGGTTGCGGACAGGATGTGCTGTTAGAAAGGCGATTCAGTCAGTAGTAAGGTGTGCGTTACAAAATGTGAGAGTCTCCTTTTCCCCCATAAGAGTGAAGATCGACAAGGTGATACCCTTTTCAAGTCCCATAGAATTTAAAGCTCACTTCAACAGACATGGTCAATAACAAGCACAGCTCCTCCTTAAGAGGGAATAACCGTGCCTGAGCAGCCAGAAGTGCCAATTACCGGTGCAAAAATCAAATGTCTGAAACCTTCTCCAAATCAAAATTCAAGTACTGATCCAATTTCCTTTCTCGCACGCTTACTACCCAAAAGTTATGATAGAAGAGCAGCCACGCTTTAAAAATTCAACTTTGATTAAGTAAAAATGAAAAACCACATGCTTCGACCAATCAAATTTGCCAATCTTTAGCGCGAAACACAAAGGCCTGAGAAGGCTTATGGTCTGAAATTAACAGCATCTATAATACGTCACTACTTATGATATCTCGTCCTTTTATATGCACAGGGATTCGAAAAGTTCAAATATGTCTGTTCACTTTCAACCAGTTAAAATGCGTGATTTTTAGCAAAAAGGAAACATTCTCGTTTGAAGAATTTCAACAGCACAAATGATCAAGTTATTGTGCAGAATTCTTAGGCTCCATCGCCAAAAAATTTTACATTTCAAGCAGAGTTTCTTCGTTCAATGATTCCGAAGGAGTTTCTGTACTACACCAATTGATGTAATGACTGGAGACTAATGCTACTGAGGTGAGTTGGAAAAGATAGTACCAAAAGTGGCAACCACAGAAACAGCAGGAACAGAAGCTACTGCCGCTCCATCCATAGATCGAAAATGCAGACCCTACTATGTTCTAGGACATGAAGAAGAAAGTACCTGCTACTTCCAATCAACTCCAGCCCACCGCAACGAAGAGGAGGA